TATTCCTGCCAGCTGTGGTTGGTTGGTGTCCTGCTGGTTTGATATGCAGGATAAAATTGAGGCAGTAAAATTAGAAAGCCTTTTCTGGGTCTCTCCTTAGAGTTTATGGCTATTGGATTTGTCCCTTTGTTTTTTTTCTAACTGACACCACTGAGAGGGTGGGAAGTCCCTAGTTGGTACAATGGTTAAGTGCTCAGCTGCTAACTTTCAGGTCTATAGTTCGAACCCACCAGCTGCTCCGAAGGACAAAAGAGCTGGTGATCTGCTCCTGTAATTGATGGCAGCCTAGGAAATCGGATGGGGCACTTCTGCTCTGACATAGACTCGGTCAGAATCAACAACACGAGTTAAACAGTGGTCAGTTACAGTCTATTCAAAGTGCCACAGAAGAAAGACCTGGCGATCTGCTTCTGAAAAGCTGCATCCATTGAAACCCCTATGAGAGCAGTTCTAGTCTGCAGCACATGAGGTCATCATGAGCCAGGATCAACTTAATGGCAACTGGTTGATTTGTAGAGTGTGGGTTAGAGGAGGGAAAGGAGATAAGATTCAAAGGAGGACACTAGGCAGGTTGCTCACTGGCTACAGCAGAGTCCCCAAGAGGCCCGTTTTGTGAGTTGGAGTCTCTCCACAGTCCAATTTACTCTGGACAGATGTAAGTTCAGCCCAGGCTACAGACGATGGCTCCCACCTCCTGCCAGATGTTTTGCACTTGTGGTCCATGGTCACGAGGCTGGGACCAGACCAGTGAGCAAAGGTGAGGTGGAACTCCTGTCTTATCTCAAGACCAAGTGCCAGGGCGGGTCATTTTATACAGCAAATTGCTGAGTGCATCACTTGTTACCGCTTGAAGCAAGGTCTCTTAGGAAGCAAAGCTCCACCTACTAATTCAAATCCATTCTGAGGCCTGTGTCTTTGTCTTCCCTTCATCTTCTACCATCCTCTAACAGCAGCGAAGCTCCCTGTTAACTGGGACCAAAGTTAACAGGAAGCTTTGGGCTGCTCGGGTTGCCTGCGTTTGCATAGCCCATGTGCTAAGGAAGGCTTTTGCATTTTTAAGTGGTTGGGGGAGGGGAAATATCACAAGAAGAGTAGCATTTCAAGACACCTGGGAAGTAGATGCAATTTAAATTTCAGCGGCTATGAATAAAGTTTCAGGGGCACACAGCCACATCCAATCATTCATGTCTTGTCTGCAGCTGCTTTTGCGCTACAAGAGCAGAGACCAGAATATTTACCACTAGGCCCTTTTTGAAAACCGTTTGCTGGTCTCTGCTCTTTCTCATTCCACATAACCATTTCTGGTCTCTTCACTGCCGTAGACTATATGTGCTGTCTTGATTACTTTCCATGTGTGCAGAATATTTTGCTTCTCTTGAAAACATGATTTAAGGGTACTAACTCCATCAAACTATGTTGCTGTCTCCATCTTCATCAAGTACCAGGTGATTCTCAGGTATTCATTAGATCTTCAAAACAAATGAATGCCTCATCTCTTCCAGATGGTTGATAGAGTTGCGTTTTTGTATACACAGACTTGGAATTTCATTGCCACATTGTTTTCACACTAAAATAAATGAATCTTGCTTCTGGCTGGCAAGCAGAATGCTATTCAGTGAAAGCAGAGCTAAACTCACTTCTGTCATATTGGAAGTAAGGTCAAACTGTGTGGGTTTGTGTTACCATTACTTACAAGTGAACACCTACTTAAATCTTTTAAAGACTGTATTCCAGTTGCCATGGAGTTGACTGTGACTCACGGCCATCCCTGGCTGTGCCCCATATGTGCCCATACAGCTGTCTTCCTTTTTTTTTTTTCAAATGATATCTTACTGTATTTTTGGGAAAGGTTCACACAGCAGTTTCGTTTCCCGTTCAACAATTTCTACACAAGTTGTTCAGTGGCATTGGTTACATTCTTCACAATAAGTGACTACTTTCATGGTTTCTGTTTTGGTTGTTCCATTCCCATTCATCTACTTTCCCTAATCCCTTACCTTCTCATCTTTGTTTTAAAGTCGCTGTTGACCATTTGCTCTCATTTAGATGATATTTTAATTGATAGAACTTTCACAGGCTCTGAGTGAATTTGAACACCCAACCTTTCAGATAGTACATATCTTCACCACCTAGGGACTCCAAAGACTGCACAGAATGATTTAAATAGCTCTGAGTACAACTTCTCTGTGAGCCAGCCATCTGGGGCTTGGAGTTTTGTGCCCACGGCGGCAGCTACGTTAGGGTCCCAGGAAGTCCATAGCTAGGACACTCAGATGTAGGCTTCCTTGGTCTGTACGCTGGCACAGTCAAATGCTTTGTCTTACCACCCATGCACACCATGCATCACTGTCCACTGAATGACGGGAAGGGTGGCTCTCTTAGTTTGGGTTTTCCCAGAAGCATAGCCTGATACATATGACAAAAGAGTTTATTTGGGAGGTGATCCCAGGAGTGATTCCCTGGAGCTTCCATCCTGACCTCACTGGGGTGGGGAGGCCTTTCCTGAGTATCAAGAACCCCTCATGCAAAACTCTGCACATACAGGCAGTGGAAAGTAGGCCAGTCGTCATTGAAGGGGTTAGTCACATGGATAAGGGTGGGCGCCAACCATCTGGTTAGGGGTTTGGGACCACCTTGTCTCCTGGAGATGCCGCAGGAGGATGGGGAGGTAGTAATCGACACAGGCAGGAGCCAGCCTGCTTGGTAAGCCCCACTTTCTTGCTCCTTCTGTGCCCTGGCTCTTCTGCTGCTGGCTTGGATTTGAACAGACAAGTGAGCTGGTGTGTTCCTCATGATGCTTACAAAGAGTATGGGTGGGGCGAGGGGAGTAGCTTGTCATGATTCACACAGTTGGAATCCTTTGCACAGTCAATAAAGCTCAAGAATAAACATCTTTCTGGCACTCTCTGCTTTCAGCCAAGATCCATCTGTCATCAACAATGATATCCCTCGTCTACATCTGGGTTGAACCTCTGGCACGTCCCTGCTGATGCACAGTTGCAGTCAATTTTGAATTAACTTTAGCAAACATTTACTTGCATGTGATATTAATAATATTGTCTGACGAGTTCCGCATTCCATTGGGTCACCTCTCTTTGGAATGGGCACAAATATGGATCTCTTTCAATCAGTTGGCCAGATAGTTTGTCTTCCAAATTTCTTGGCACAGATGAGTGAGTGGCTCCAGTGCTGCATCAGTTTGTTGAAAGGTTTCAATTTGTATGCCATCAATTCCTGGAGCCTTGTTCTTTTGGCAATGCCTTCAATGCACCTTGGAGTATTGGCTCTTGATCATATGCTACCTCTTGAAATGGGTGAACATCAACCATTTCTTTTTGGTACAGTAACCGCATATTACTCCCATTTTCTTTTGACGCTTTCTGCATCATTCAATGTTTTGCCCATAGAATCCTTCAATATTTCAAGTCAAAGCTTGAATTTTTTCTTCAATTCTTTCAGCTTGAGAAATGCTGAATGTGTTCTTCCTTTTTGGTTTTCTAACTCCAGCACTTCACACATTTTATTATCATACTTGACTTTGTCTTCTCAAGCTGCTCTGTAAAATTATCTGTTCAGCTCGTTTACCTCCTCATTTCTTCCATTTGCTTTTAGCATGTCTACACTTGGAAACAGAGTTTCAGAGTCTTTTTGACATCAATTTTGGTCTTTTCCTTCTTTCTTGTCTTCTTAATGGCCTTTTGCTTTTTTCCTGCATGATACTCTTGATGTCATCCCACAACTCTTCTGGTCTTCCATCAATACTGTTTAAAGCATCATATTTGTTCTTGAGGTGATCTCTAAATTCAGGTGGAATATGTTCAGGGCCGTATTTTCGCTCTTGGGGACTTGTTTTAATTTTCTTCAGCTTCATCCTGAATTTTCTTATGAGCAATTGATGGTCTGTTCAACAGTATGCCCAGGCCTTGTTTTGACTGATAATATGGAGCTTTTCCACCTTCTCTTCCCACAGTTACAGTCAATTTGATTTCTGTGTATTCCATCTGGTGAGGTCCATGTATGTTTTATGTTGTTTATAAGAGGTATTCTTCAGCTTCATTTCTATCACCAAGGCCATATTTTCCAAGTATTGATCCTTCCTCTTTGTTTCCTACCTTCACATTACCACCGCCAGTAATGATCAATACATCTTGATTGCATGTTTAATCAATATCAGACTGAAGAAGTTGAATTCTTCAATTTCCTCATCACTGGCTTTAGTGGTTGGTGCATAAATGTAAATAATAGTGGTATTATCTAGTCTTCCAGAAGGTCATCCTTCTACCAACTTCTTCAGTCTGAAATTGATGAAACAACTAGATCTGACCCAATAAGTAACACACATGCAAGCCCCAGAATAGACAAAACCCAGATTTTGAGATTTTTCAAAGGCATTTGAAAAGCAAACCTCACCACAGTTCACTTCAGGGAAGATAAACAGGTTCCTTCAGCCCTGAGAGCACAGTAGAGTTGCAGCCCTTGATAAGCCGTAAGTTGGAATCGACATCGCATCAGCGGGGGTTTGTTTTTGTTTTTTGTTTGTTTTTTTCATATTCTTAAAAATATTAACTGATGCACAAAGTTCTTAAAACGTGGACATCTGAAGATTCAATCTGAGTACAGGTGAATTTTTGAAAACTAGAAAATGTCTCAGTTAGACCCTTTTAAGTTCAAGGTACCTACAGTGACCTCTTAACAAGGTGGCAGTCCACACAGTATGTCTGGATCTGTCGTGGGCACACTGGCTGGGGATCTGATTGGAATTCATATTCTCTTCCTTCTCTGAACCGACCTGTGCTAGGATGTCGAGAGTACAGGTGCAGGCGGGGAGGAAGCATGGGATGAGGGAGTTCAAACAGTTCATAGAAAAACAGGATTATACACAATAGAATTTTTCCACAAACGTTTTGAAAACCCCTCAGATTCAAACATATAAAGGGTTTCCTACCTTCCCTCCCCTCAAGAGTTCACATAAAATTCCAATTGAACCCAAAGCAACTCACCAATATAGACATGTCCAGCTATGGTATAAATGAAGCTTGTCCACCCTGCAAAGGAATCCGCAACAGTAAACGGTTAGTGTCTATGATGTGAAAGGAACAACACAACCAACCACAAAACTGAACATGTTGCCATCGGGTCACTGTTCTCCATCGGGTTATTCTTTTTTAATGGAAGCAGGCTGCCAGGTGGGCTCAAACAGTTTACCTTTCAGGCAGTAGTTGGCCAGAAACCATTTGCAACTCCCAGGGACCCACGGAAAAGAAGAAAGAATATAACAGATAAGATTTGGATGAAATCTATTTCTTTTGGATATATATTTTAAAAATTTAAGTTCTATCTAAAAAGCCCAGATAATGTAGTGGTTTACGAGTTGGGCTGCTAATCAAAAGGTCAGCAGTTCGATTCTAGCAGCCACTTTGCGGGCTGTTGTTGTTAAGTGCTGTCAAGTCAGTTCAGACTCATAGAGACCCTGTATAGGGTTTCCGAAGAGTGGCTGGTGAGCTTGAACCGCCAACCTTGCAGTTCAAACCAACCTTGTAGTCCAGTGCATTAACCCTCCATGCCACACACGGCCTCAGAAGTTGGGACTGACTCGACAGCATAAACCACCACTACCAGCAAGTTCTATCTATGAACTGTGTCACCCACACTCACGTCCTCTCTCACACACAAACACACTCCTAAACCTAAATGACTTGGCCCCGAACGTTTAAGAGCCAGGCAAAGTAGAGAGTCTACAATTCACTTGGCCATATAGCTATACTTTTGTTGTTGTTAAGTGCTGTCGAGTCAATTCCGACTCACAGCAAGTTTTCCAAGGAGCAGCTGGTGGGTTTGAAGTGCCACCTGGTGGGTTTGCAGGGCCAACCTTGGAGATCATCGTTCAGTGCTGATCTTACAGTGCTACACCAAGAGTTCTAAATAGTTTGTAGAAAAATTCCATTACCTTTTTTAAAAAAATGTTTTCTTGTGTATTATGTGATAGGTTACATGGGAGAACATTAGTTTTACATTTATCCTATCATATATCATTTCATTGCCATGGTTACAATCCCCTCCATGCATCATCAATCTACCAAAGGTTATACACTACAAGCCTGTCTCCCCACTCATTAATAAACAGCCCCTCTCCCTCTGTGGGTCTAGAGTTCCCAGCTGCTCTATCTCTTCACATCATTGTCTCTGCCTCCATCTCTGGCATCACTGCTTCTCTGGGTAGGGTCCTGCTCTCCACTCTTCTCCCTTGATGGTTCCAGAGACCTCTGCTCCTAGACTGCAAAGTCAATCACTCCCCTCCTTGCTACAAAATGTCTGCCTTTACATTTCCAACCCTCACAATCAGTCCTGATAACAATTATTCACTATTGTATCACAAGAGACCTATCCGCATTTCCTTTCATTAGTCCTGCCCAGACAGATTGGATACTACTCAGTGGAGATTCTACCTTCCTCCACGCCCTCTGGATCTAGGTTCCCTCTTGAAAGCTTGTAAGCCAGTCACTTCTTGCCTTTGTAGCTCCCCCACTTTGGGTGACCAATGTCTAAGTTGCCCAGCCCTGTCTGCTTTGTGTATGGAGGGGGTGGGAATGGTCCTCGCTGTAAAAATTTGTCCCCTCTTTTGAGCTACTGCATCCATAGGTGTAGGTCAAGTTCATCAAATTGTATCAGATTACTCTTCTTTTCCTCTTCTAGTTGAGCTCTGATCATCTAGCCATTGAAGTCAGGTCAAGTGGGTATTATCTGTGAGTGTGGGTGTTCTTGTGCATATGCCCTCTCATCAGCTGGACGCTTCACTCTCCACTCTAGTCCTCTGTGGTTATGTCACTGACTCTGGGCCCAAGAGTCCCCAGGTCTTGCCACACTGCTGGCTAACCAGGTCTCCACCTGGGTTCACAGGAGTGTATTGAACATTGTAGGGCTTAGCTTACAGCTTCATTGCTGTTTTTCCCTCACTTTCCCTTATCGGTGATGAGCGTGGTCACCAATCACAGCGTGTATTCCCATTGAGTCTTAGTCTTGGAAAGGGGTTTGCTCTGAGGGGACCCGACCACTTGCCTTGATGTCTCCTGGGGGAGCAACTTGGTTGTTCTTGCAGTAATCAGCCGGTCTGCCTATATTGTTTTGTATTTTTCCTGTCGGTCTTTCTTTCAAGAAGTATCTTCTGTTCTTTTAGCTGCTCCAGGCTGGTCTGCCTATCCTTTCAAGTGGAGATTTCCCACCTCTGAAGATTCTGGATGGGGTTCAGAATGCAGAGGCTCTGCAGGAAGCCTCCTTCACTGGGCACGTTGTAGCCCTATTTTAGGTATTCCAATCAGTTATAGGCAGAAGGTGGACTTACAAGCTTTCTATAATGATATTTCTAGCTATTCCTTTCTCTCCCCCTCCATGTCTTTTTTATAATGGTATGCCAGGGAAACAAGATTCAAAAGACAGCCAAGCATCTTAACATTATTTTCCCCCTTTTCCCCATTCCAACCATGTCTCAATCTCTGTATCCCAGAGCCCTGTTGTTCCAAGGTTGTGCATACATCATTCTTTACCTCTGTCTCACTTAGTCAATGCAAACCTGCCTAATTGTTCTCCCATCTGCTTTGTACTTCCATTCCCCTCTCCCTTTCCATTATATATATATATGTATATATATATATATATATATATTTTTTTTTTTTTGGAAGGCGGAGCAGTTTATTATTTACACGGATGAAGAGCAGGAGGGTAGAGGCCAAGGTGGGGCAGGAAGGTGGCTGGGGCTCAGTCGGTGATGATGACTTCGTCCACGCCCCAGTCCTCATAGCTCCCATCTGGCAGGTAGAGGTGAATGATGATGGGGATCTTTCGAGCCTTGAGCTCCTTCATGACGATGAGCAGGGGTCTGTCCCCCCCTCCAGCTCCACCATCATGGGGGCACACATCGCGATCTGGAGGGCTTGAGTGCCCAGCACGCGGGCTCGCTGGTACTTGGTCATGTACGGCGTGGAGATCTGCTTCTGGTTGGCCTGCGGTCGCTCCCCTGACGGAAGGATCTGGACGTTCTCCTGGCCCTCCTCCTCGGCAGTCTCCAGGTCATCTAATCCTTCCTCCTCCTGCACATCATCAAAGTCATCACCATCAAAATTTTCCTAGTTGTCTGACATAATGCCCGCACGGCAGAGACCTGGTTTTACGCAACACAACAGCCAGGAGACCCCACAAAGAGCACGCCTTCCCCAACATGGCTCCATTATATTTTAATCCCATTTTTCCCATGAACTTTTTGAAGCCCCCATATACACCAACAATTGACACATGAACAATCTGCTCCTTCTAGTTCTAACATCATATTAATGGCAATACCCCAGTCTGGCTTCATCTTCAGTTCACTGAAATTCCAAATAGTTTCAAGTGTGAAGAGATAATGCTAAAAATATGCTTGTCTTTTACTTCATTGCCTTCTAGCTGCCAGTGAGCTCATTCTTACTAGAGCATTGGCTCCCGAGATGCGGGGATGCACAATCTTGGTAATATAAATGGACTTCAGATGGTCTGTGAACTGTCTGGAATGAGCCACACTATGTTTTCAGTGTGTAGGTCTTTAGTAGGAAGAGGGGGCATAGAATTTACCAGCTTTGTACCCAGGGGGCCAAGCATTCAGAAACCCCAACAACCTGCCATGGGTACGCTCAGTCCCCATGCATGGTTTTCATGGGTGGATGGATGCACTGTATCCTTGACTCAAAAAAGATAAGGTGCTTCCATTGAGGGATGCAGCCCTAGAAATTAGAGCATCAGTCCGGGCACCGTTAATGGAAATGAAGAGGATCTGCGAGAGGAATTTGGGCAGAGTTCAAGGTTGGAAGGGCATGGCCCAGCCTGGAGTCCGTCTAAAAGTCGAGAAACAACAAAGGCAGCAGGAAGGAGCAAAAAGGACAACCAGCTCAAAATGCACAAGGAAGGCACATAAGAAAAGACATTAGCTCAAGTTGAATAAAAACTGAGTCAGGTAAAGAAACTCCGAAGAATTGTAAACTAACCAAACAAATAAATATACACACTTGGGTGGATGCCAGTGGCAGCGTCTTCACCTCCTATTTCACAGTTTTCCTAAGACTTTACTAGAATGGGTTTAGGAATCTCAGAACACTCACTCACTCCTTTTTTTCCCCCTTTGTTAAAACACTTGCTGAGTTGGACACATCCCAGGTGCTTGTGTTATGGGGGAAATACAAGCAGATCTCACAGATATTGCAGTTCCGTTGCAGACCATCGCAATACAGTATCACAATTAAGCAAGCCACATGAATTTTTTGGTTTTCCAGTGCATATAAAAATTAAGTCGGCACTATCCTGAAGTCTATTAGTATGCAGTAGCCTGATGAAAAAGTTTGAAAGGTTAGGAGAATAACCTAATTGTGTCTAAGTGACATGAAGTGAGCGCATGCTGTAAAACTTTTCTTCCCTGCTTACTCAAAACCTCACACACACAAAAACCCACAGTTGCTGTAAAATCAACTGACTCATGCTGACCCCATGATGAGGGGCTTCAAAAAGTCCATGGAAAAATCCCACTGTCTTTTCATGCCATTTCTCCACAAACTTTTTGAAGCCCCCTCATGTGTCAGAGTAGAACTGTGTTTCATAGGATTCTCAGTGGCTTTCTTCTATGGCATACTTGGCTGTGATTTTTCTGGAAGCACCAGATTGAGTTGCTGAAAACGGTTTCCATTTCTTTCAAAAGTGCCAGTGTCATTATTGTCTTGTTTCTGGTTAGAAAAAGTAATGTGCACTTACTTAACAACATTTTAAGAGTGCAAAAGTGAGTAAGTAACATTTAGCTTGCAAATTTGTCTTCCATTTTCAAGTCTTCTTGAACATAAGTATTACCAAGGTTTTTCATTTTCTACTCCAGCTATGTACTGCATGTTGTTTGCTTAAAAACTTGAACAAACGGGATATTCTGTCTTGGATACCTTTCCATGTCAAAACACAAGAGATGTAACTCACCCTTGGACAAGACTGTAGAGCATTCCATTGTAAGGACGTATTTTAATTTATGAAACCCTCCTCA